GGGGGGGGACACGGGGACGCGGACGGGGCGTCCAGAGCAGCCCCAGCCCTCGCCGTCTGGGCAAACGTGGGATCCCAAAGAAGGGATGCGCAAATTGTTGGGCAAATTAGGCCAATTGGAAACAAATCAGCACTCCGGGAAGAGAGCCTGCCACTCCCAGAAAATAATTGAAAATAAATCCGGCACTGTTATATTGATGTAAACCTGGAGTAATTACACAGAGGTCAAAGTTGTTGCATGCACTAGAAAAGCTGCGCTTGCTCTTTAGTTTGAGAGAAGATTATGTTCCCACTTAGGTCGACGGCATATATATATATATATATATGATAGAGAATTTTTTTCCTACACACATGAAGAGGATACATATAACTTTTTTTTCCCCATCATACGCTATCTGCAAGCCAATCCCGAACCAAAGTCTTGAAGACCCTCCGATGAGATGGACCAAATGCTGAACAGACAGCTGAAAGCAGCAAGTCCTTGTTTTGGTTAAAACCTAAATGCCCCAGAGAAGCTCCTTTTAGGAGCTACAGCAACCCACCCTAGAAGACAGAGAATTGCAGGGCTTGCAGCGTACACCTTTTCTATGGAGATCTTTTTTTTTTTCCTCCTTTATTGTTCCCACAAATGCTAAAAATTACATGACTGGCATTGACCTGTGAACTTGGCTCTGTCTGAAGACTGTAGAAGAGAAGCCACTTTCTTTTTTTTTTTTTTAAGCAGAGCTTTCCAGAGCCACATGAGTGCAAAAGGTAATTGAACATTTGGTTTTTTAAACTTTAAAAAAGATGAACACCAGGTTGACAGCTTCTGTACTTGGATGTTCATTTAATCACCATTTCCTGATTACAGGAGGTGAACTATGTTGACAGACTTGGAGATGAATATGGAGCCCAGTATACTAATAGTAAGTATAAAGGACATGAAGATATTGCAGTGAGGTTGGAGGGGAAAAATATATATGTAGCATCCATATTACACACATCAATTGAAAGCACCTCAGCAGCCAGTGGGAATTCAGAAAGTAGCAAGTGAAGTGTTTTAAGTGCTTCAGGCACCCATAATCAGGAAGACACCTGCATAAGGTATATACCTGCATGACCTGTATCTGTATATATGTGCGTACACATGTATACATACGTATGCAAGTTAATCACATATATGTTAACTTACTTATCTGTCTACATTCCTAAAGATAAGATTTAGCCTAGTCAGTCGTATTCCAGAAGTTTAAATCCTATTGTTCAAGCTCTCAGGTTAGAGGAGGGAGGTAATCGAACTGCATTCCAAAACTGCCCGAGTTGCACAAGGTTGTCTAATGCAAGTTGGCAGCATAACATTAAACTTATATCCACTCCACCCTCCACGTCACTAATCAGAGTTTTATCCCGCCGACAGCTCCGCGCAGGCATAGACAGCATTCTCCCCTAGGACTCAAGGTTTGAGGCTGATTCTGATACAGGTCCTGTCCACGCTTGGAGAACACATTTTATTACTTCTGTCAGTAAAGAAGGTGTAATACCCACAGAACACTTAATAATGCACCTGCCCCACTAAGGTTGCAACCCCAGACTGGATTATCCTTCCTTGTGTTTACTTGGATATCAGTCCATACGCCACAGAATTACCATGCCAGGTTAAAAACCAAATCCAAAAAACCTTCTCCATGAGTCAGCTGGTTTACAATAAAGGTAATGCTTGTAACCACGTTACCAAATAGTTTCAGGCCTTTCCTTGCTTCTTTTTTAAGCTACTCTTCCCCCTGGCCCTCGGTCTCCCTCCTGGCAAGCACAGAGCTTGCTAGAGCCACGCTCTTTGGCCATCTGACTGTTGTGCTAAAGCTCTCCACAGCCACCTTCTCCTGCAGACTAACACAGGCTACTTCTCCTGTAGCCTCCGTAAATGGCTATTTCACTTACAGTCACCTAAGCCTTCCTGCTTCATGGTTTCTCAGTAGCCGTTTCATCATGAAGCTTCCCCAGGAACTAAACCAGAATATCCCCCAAAAGCCAAGAAACAAAGAAAATCCATTGAACTCATTTGCTCCCTGTGATCCAGTCTAGGCATCTACAAAAGATTTTTAAAAAACAGTGCTTAAACCAAGCTTATTGGTTAACCCTAAGGCTGACTGCATGGCATCTTTTTAAGAAAATAGCTTTTTTCTCCACGTACACTTTTACTATTAGTTTAAATGCAATAAATACGTTCTTAAAGTGTGTTAATATGTTTTCTCAGCACAAGACATTTTCGCTCTGGAGGCAGGCTACATGGAAGTCGGTATGAGAAATCCATATTGACACTACAGAACTAGAAGGCAAATAACACTTGGGACTCCTGGCAAATTCACTTAGGGAAAAAGCATGTCCTAGAAATCCTTCTCCCACCCAGAAACACACAGTTTTGAGATAAGCTTTTTTAGCACTTCAGAACTGTCACTTCAACATGGTAATTACATTTTTATTTTACTCTTTTATTTGTATATATGGCTTTTCTAGTTGTTTCATTACTTCTTGATATTAGGGGCAGTTGATGCTGACATATAATGTGCTATAATAGATTTTAAGTCTCTTTCATTTTAATTTTTTCTTTTTTAGATCAGTGTTTCCTGTCTGCATGGCAATGAAACGGCTTTATATAACTCAACAAAGGTGACATTGATTTAGGAAAGTAATGATCCATCAGTACTAAGTTGCAGCTGTTCTTAATGAATTTTAAAATATAAAAGCTATTTCACCTCTTCATTCTATTGTGAAATGTTAGTGGTAGTTGTGCATATCAAAGTACCAGCTACTACAATACGTTGTGAAACGTGAAGGCAGCATCCAACCAGCTCCCTCACGAAGCTCCACCATGCCAATCGAAAGCGTATTTCCGAAATATGCTCATATTTTTTTCCCACAGGTATTTGCCGTTTTTCACCTGACTGCTTTTCTTCTCTTTTACAAAAGCAGTGTTTTTGTTGCTGAGGCCATGATTTGTTTCCTGATTGCTCCTTTTTCCAAACAAACCAGAAAAAAACTGAGTCATCATCTTTGTAAGAAAGCACGCGTTTAGTGCTTGGCAAATTAAAAGTCAAGACTTCGTGAATCATCGTTATTTTCAGTGTCAAGCAGCTGGAGCATTTTTGCTTCCAAAAATATAAAGAGCTATGCTGTCAGACAGCTTGAAGAGAGGCAGGTAATAAATTGCCTAGTGCTGCATAAAGGTTTTAAGGGTCTTTTAAAATGCGCTGGAGGTAAATTGCCAGGAGATATATTAATGTTTTATTTAGCTGTGTTTCAGTTTATGTTTGTCTTTGCTTCTGTGGTGATGAGGGCACTTCAAACAAATTGGCTGGTCTGTGAGGCACACCGGTAGCTGGTTATAGCTGCTCCAGCAGTTGTGCGGTCATTTCAATGAACTACTGACACTGAGCAACCCCATGTGTTAGTGCCATAACGCTTATCCTCTGTGGAGAGAAAGAGGTCTTCCCATCCAGGCTGATCATTTAAGTTAGTTTTTAGTCCTTCTTAACTGGGTCCATAAATTCTATGCAGAGGTGAGGGAAATTTGGAAGGACCACACAGTAACTCAAGAAAGGAACTTCGAAAGAGAGATCCCTGTGAAACCACAAAGCCTTGTTTATAGCTGTTGCAGGTTTGTGTAAGTGCAAGTTTTCCCTTCGTACAGTGTTTTTAGTACTATGGAATAGAGCATAAATTCATGCTGTATTGGATATGGAGTTCCTGAAATCCTATTTTCCATTCATAATCTTCCAGTAAAAAACTATTTTGAACTAAACGTTCAGGCTGGAAGTCACACTGGGCTGGATGAAGTCTAGAAATTCAGGGAGGGATGACCGGTTCTACGACAACAGGGTCTGCGAGAAGGCTTCTTAAACATTCCTCTAAGAAAACAGGACAAAAACCCCTGAGTCCTTACCATATAACAAACAAAAATGTAATGCAATGAGACTCTGAAGAAATGTACTTTCCACCTTGTTTCTGTACCGTATGGACTCTACCTTCTTTACTTTTCCCATCGCCACGACCCGAAGTCGCTGTGCTGCCACGAGGTATGCCGAGCGCTGATTCCCACGCAGGGCCAGAGGCAGGGCTTTACACCCCACAAAACTTCTTCACGTCAGGCTCTTCTCAGAGCTGGGGGTCCTCAAGGGACAGGGCAACAGCTGGCCTTCGGCACAGCCTGGAAAAGGGACTCCTCCTCTGACCGTCGGCTAGTGGCTTTAACGCCTCTTTATACCATGAATTCCCTGTCAATATACTTTTGTTTTGACTTAGTGACTGAAATAAACTGATTATTCCCCTTTTCCACCAGTATTATGTCTGTGTCATAGCGAATTTGGAAATTCCTTTTCAGGTATTTATGCAGCAAAAACCCCAGCACCAATGGCCTGTCTACTTGGATTTTCTTTTCTCAATTGAGTTATCTCAGCTGGGTTGACACAAACCCAGTTTAAGCAAGTTTAAAACTGGACGAGTTCAAACGACACGCACAGAGAGCGTAACCACAGTTAAACAGTGTCAGAGCCCCGCTCAGGCTGTCACCCAGACCCACCTTTCCGTTGTTGAAACAGCAACTTACAATTAAACACAAGTCTTCCACTTTTGCATGCCTCCCCTTCATTCTCCCCCTTTTTATTTGGTATGATGTTTGCAAATCTGACCTGTGCAAATTTCGCACCTATTTTCTTTTAAACCATTGCGTGATTATTAAGTTTTCTGGCCCCATTCCTGCCACATTCCCTTCTCAATGTGTGAGATGCTAGAGCATCTCCAGTTATCTTGTGAGATCTAAACCCACAGAAGTTGTCTCAATAAGGTTTGTACCACAGATTACATTAACTTGTAAAGCAGCATTTGAGTAGAAGGGAATCAGTTCATAGGTCATATGGAAGAAGAGTACAGGGATAAAAAAAGTATAGCATATTTACTGCCACCCCCCATCACATACTCTGTCAGAGCATGATTTGATTCATATCAAGAAAAAAGTGGTAGAATGTGTAGCAGAATATTAATAGACAAGGAAAATTTGCATGCTGATTTTGATTTGACTGGTCCTTTATGCAAAAGCACTTTCATAAACTAAATGTTGCTAGTGTATGTGATTTCAGGTAAAAACTGAGGGAAAATCTTCAGAATATTGTCAGGACTTTCATTTGAGGTTTAAAGCCAGGGGCCATGAAGTAAGAGACATGGAAGGTCTCTTTCCAGTTTGCACCTGTGTTTTGCTGTATTTTAAGCTATAGAGGGTAAAGCCTGGAAAAGCAGAAAACCTGAAATGATTCAGAGATAAGATAAAGAAAGCTTACAAGGTTTAGTGAAAAAGGCTGGATGCACTGGATGTACCTCTTGTTTTTTCAGTACCACGTAATACTAAAACAGACGAAAAATACCTTCTAACAGCTGGTAAGTGTCAGTATTCTGCTAGAGTTTGGCATTTAAAAAAAACAACTTCTGCATCTGTTGAGAATGCTTAAGTGCAAAACTTTTTATCCATCCCTGAGTTGTACCTTGCTTTGAACAGCCTTGCCTTTTTCTATCCATGAAAGATTAAGCTGGATGATTCAAAGTTTCCTTATTTTAAGATCAACGCTAAAATTCAGTTTCTTTTCATAGAACTAAAGGTGTCATCAAATAAACAAAAATCATTTCAAAAACCCTCAGAGCCAACATTTTGCACATTCATAGACTGAATTATTTTATTACAAGCAGGTAGTTATTTGCTAATAAAGGCCCTGGTTTTTAGGATCAATGAGTATTGTTAAAATAAGCAAGAAAAAAATTGTAAGCTCTTCTTTTGCCTTGGATAAAACAAGGTGACATTTGCAATTTGCAGTGCACAATCTCTCCGTTAGCAACCTTGGCAAAGGTTCATCAAGTTGTTCTCAATAATTTCCTCCAAGTTACAAGTGTGTCACTTGGCCTGTTACAGACCTGTCCCTGCGGTTTACTCTGCTGTTTACCTGTGTATTGTAAGATTTGTTCTGGCTGATTGGTTTCAAAGGAAAAAAAGCAGTTTTTAAAATCAAAGCTTCGGTGTGGAAGGATATAAAGTGTGAAATGCAGACCCATTGCTTTCATTCTGGCTTTAGTGATCACAGAAACCTGCTGTAGGGCAGGACTGATCTGCCAGAAAATTATTATTGAGCCCTGGAACTCAGATATATGTGCAGACTTGAAAATGTTGTTCTTTGTGCCAACTCCAGGTCCTACAAGAACCTCACATGGTATCCTCCACCTGGCTCAGAAATATGCTGCATTCCACCGTAAAGAGGAGGAAGATTGTCAATTCCCAGGCAGCTGTGAACAATTTAATCTCTTTCCAAACAGCCCGGCATCCTATTCCAATTGCAAAGTTTCTTGGGGGATGGATAGTTTGAAGAGCTGGTGAGAGATAATAGGGCCTTTATTTCAAGGTCATTCCTACGGATTTGGCTTTGACAGTAACATCTTGATAACAGGGTTGCCAAATCTCACAGCCTCATGATGCTTACTGGGTTTGGAGTTTCCTCCTCCATATGCTGGAAAGAGGGGCTGAAAATTAGTGTTTGGAAGACAAGTTTGAAACCTTGAATTACTGCTCTGTAAAAACTTCGAAATCGGGTGGAGAACTACAGTTTTTTAATTTTAGGAAGAAGAAATCCTTGTGATTTTTAAGATAGACTTCTTATTCTATAGACCGGTGGTTGGCCCTTCTGGGATTTCCCAGATCAACTTGCCTATGAGAACCGAGCTGATAACTTGACTTGGTTTTAGGGACAAGTCTCTAAATGCCTGACTCCTTTTCCTCTCAAGATTTCTTTACCAAAAAACCACCATCCAAATCCTACGCAAGCCATTTTTGCCACCTCTTTGGCAACATGTTTAGAAGAGCCAAAGAACCACAAGGAACTACTTCAAGAAATTCATATCCAGATTTCTTAAAGTTCTCAGAATCAGTAATTTTGTTCTGATTATTAGAACGTCTTTGCATTTAAAAACTCTTGTACAGGTATTTAAGCCAGCTGTACTGTTAAACAGGCTTGCACCTGACATGGTTTCCATGGGAGCCGCTTGGTGCTTAGCCATTTGCAAACATGGCTGCTTATGTAGATAATCAAATTAGAGTTAGCGAACACGGTGTTCTTCTGAGAACCTGACCTTTGGTCTTTCTGGCACACTGGTAGAAGACTGAAGGAAAACACATCCTTTCTGTGCTTTACATACTCCGTACCACATTTTTTTTCCCTCTAAAACTAGCTAGATGTGACTTTCAGGATACTCCTACCAAAAGCTCCCTCTATTTCACTGCATTTTCAGCAGTTACAGCCGGATTGTTCTGCCCAACTCTATATACAGCATTAATCAGCTTAGTTCTATTTTCATGGAAGTTCCCAAGTTTTAAAGCTTTTCTTTTGTTCAACAAGACATATCGGGCTTGGCTTGCACCAAAATGTTTAGTAATATTCTCTAAGAACTAGTTTTATTCCATCAGAAAGTACTGGTGTTCAAATATGTAGGCATTTCAGCCATACATAAAGTGGAGAGGCAGAATTACAGGAGCTTTGATTGTGAAGCTAAAGGGATCAAAGTATCTGGATTAATTTGTAATGTTTTAGGAACAGGCACTGTATTTGAAAGGAAGTTCTAGATTCAGTTTGCTAACTCTCCCCTTCCAACGAGCTTGTCAGATCCCAAACAGGGAAGGACAGGCTTTTGTCTTCTGAACTCCAGTTTGGCCACTAGTGCCTGGGCTTATTAGGGCCACCTAGAGAGAACCCCATATGCTGCTGAATAAACTAGAAAAATCCTGATGTCCCCCTGAGGTCAGCAGCACTAATTAGCACCCACAGAAAGGAAATCTGCTCCAACCTGCCTGCTGCGCTTCCTGGCTTTGACCACATCCCAAATCTTATGGGAAAATGATTCTGATGACATATCATGGCAGAAACACACGGTGGGCTGCTCATGGGCTAACCTGTCCACTCTAGGATTTTTATAATCCTTCTCATCTACTGGGCTGAAATATTGCTGTATGGAGGATACAAGCCCAGGTGCTTTTTAACACACAACAAAACAACAAGTTTGCCCCCTGCAGGGGTACCTCGCTGCCCAGCTCTTAAGCTCTGTGAGGTTCAAGAAGCCTGGTACCATTTTGGGAAGTCGTGGTGAGAGTTTCAGCTCTCAACAGTAATACCACTAACAGGCAGAAGCTACACAACCACATCCACGTTGGGGAAGTCTGTCAGGTCTTCATTTCTTCATGCTTTCTGGCCACAAATGCCAAGCTTTCATGAAGGTTGTCCCTAATGCCATGGACAAATGCCACTAGCTCCCTTCCCTGTCCTGCTCAGAAGCCCACCTGAGGGACAGGCTGCTGAATTCTATTTTGTGCACGCTCTCTGGAGGGCTGTCCCACCTCTTAGGCTCTATCTAGAGCTGGGTGACCGTTGCTAAAACAACAAATGTACCTAAACTAAATACTTTTTCAGTATTTTTCGATATGTTAATGGAATAACACCTGCACGCTGATAGTATTTTTACGTTTTTGACTGCTAGTCAATAAGAGAATTTTGAAATAAAAAAAGTAAGAAGAATTTTCACTGTCTGAAAGCTTCAGAAAAGTTTAACAACGTTTTTCGTCATAATTCAAACATAAGCACTGTGATATTTGAATTAGGAAGTCTCCTCCACATAGTACATCAGAAATAACAATTTTTTAAATGAAAGGTGGTAAATACTGTCTCTAGAGTAGTTTCTCAAAGTCCTATGCATAAACGTTATTTTCATAGGCAATAAGCAAGCTAGCACTCGCCTGTATGAAAGGTTTATCCTTCATTTTAACCTCAGAGAGAGAATAAGTCCTCTCAATTTCTTCTTTGCAACAAGGACATGAAACAACCAAAAAAAAACATTGTGAATGATCTACAACTTTGGATATGTTTTAAAATAGGATAAAAACCCAAATGAAAACAAAAAAAAACCCACCAAAGCTGAAAATAGACTAATGTAAATAAGGAAACAAACAAAACCAGGTAAT